GGTGGGGGGGTGGGGGAGATGGGGAGGTGGGGAGGTGTTAGAGGAAGCATGTACCTGTGAGCCAGAGGTCAATCTCAGGTTCTCTCAGTTGCTTTCTACTTTGCCTTTTGAGACAGTGCCTTGTCACTGAGCTTGGAGCTGGCCATTCGTTTAGGTTGATTGGCCAGCAAGAGCTCCAGGATCTGCTTGCCTTGACTGCCGTTCACTGAAGTTTCAGCTTATAGCCATGCCTGGCAAGCATTTTACTCACTGAGCTACTCCATAGCCACTCAGAAATCATTTCTAAAACCCTTTTTATCAAACCAGTTCATTTGTCTCTATTTATTACTTCATATGTATTAGTAGATAGTTGCAAATATTGAAAACAAGATGGTATAAGTGAAGAATTAATACTAACAAATACTGATATTTTCTTCATTTTGTGTCTCATTTTTAGGATCATAGCCATACTCCATGGATTGTGATCATAGCTAAATATTTAGCACAGTGGTATAGTGAAGTATGTCTTTTTTTTTTTTTTAATTATATAAAGCTCTTTTGAGGTTTGTGGGAGGTTAATGTTTTACTTTGTTAGAGTGTATTGCAAATGGGAATTTTGAAGTTTAAATTCAACTACCACTCTTTCAATTACTGATCTTTTAATTAACAAATTGGAATTTCAGTAAATTTCTTCTTGAAACTACTGTGAGGAATGAATGGAAAGAAATGGCCTACAGTTACTCTTTCCAAATTAAGAGAGCCTCTGATGTCACTGATAATATATATACATATACATATACATGGCATATTTTTTTGATAAAATCTTACTGTGGAGAATGAAGAAAACTTTAGATACTCAGTTTCCATATTCTGAGTTTGAATAACTAGATCTTTAAAATTTTTAATCAATTTAGACAAATGGGCGAATTCCTAAAAGCTATAAAGAAAAAGAAGACTTCAGAGATTTGATTAGACAAGGTAATTTTCTGCACCATAACTAAGTATTATATAGACTTCAGAGATTTGATTAGACAAGGTAATTTTCTGCACTACAACCAAGTATTATATACATTTTGAAAAAAAAAATTGCTTGAAGCCAATATTTATTGGATTTCAGATGATGCCATCATGAGTTTTTTTTTTTGTTTTTTTTTTTTGGTTTTCGATACAGGGTTTCTCTGTGTAGCTTTGGAGTCTATCCTGGCACTCGCTCTGGAGACCAGGCTGGCCTCGAACTCACAGAGATCCGTCTGCCTCCCGAGTGCTGTGATTAAAGGCGTGCGCCACCAACGCCCGGCTCAGCATGAGTTCTTAATTTTACTTTTCCCTTGGGAATAAATGATTCATTTTTAAATAGTTTAAGAACAAATATTAGCTGTATTTCCTGGTAAAGCTCAGCATTCTGACCCTCTGCTCAGAGCCTTACAAGGTTTTTCTGTGTTGGGAAGACAAAATAGAAAGAACCATTGTTTGTTTACTGTTTCTTACTTTTAATAGGGATTTTAAAGAATGAGAATGGAGCTCCAGAAGATGAAGAGAATTTTGAAGAAGCTATTAAAAATGTGAACACAGCACTAAATGTAACTCAGGTATTAAAGGAATTGCTGAAGTCATAGCCAGTATGTTTTCTGATATAAAAGTTGATATGTCCTAATATTGCTTAAATGTATAGTAAGTTAGAACTAAATACCTATAACAAAAAAAAGAAAAAAAGAAGGAAAAAAAGAAAAAGAAAAGAAAAAGGAAAAAAAGAGCTGGGCAGTGGTGGGAATGCCTTTAATCCAGGCACTCGGGAGGCAGAGGCAGGTGGATCTCTGTGAGTTCGAGACCAGCCTGGTCTACAAGCGCTAGTTCCAAGACAGCCTCCAAAACCACAGAGAAACCCTGTCTCAAAAAACAAAGGTACAAACAAAAAAAGAGAAATAAGTACCTATAACTTACTTAACTTGAATTTTTTAATTCTTTTTTTCTTTCTTTTCTTTTCTTTTTTTTTTTTAAAGACAAGGTCTTTCTATGTAGCCCAAGCTATCTTTAAATTTGCTATATAGATCAGGCTAGTCTTGAACTTTTGTGATACTTCTGTCTCTGCCTCTCAAGTGTTGAAATTACAGGTATGTGCCATGCCTAGCCCAAAACTTGAGATTTCTTTTAGTATAGTTTTGAGCCCTGTATGGTGGTGAATGCCTATAACTCCACCACTTGGGAAGAGGGGCAAGACTATCAGGGTCATCCTTTTCTACAAAGCAAGTTCAAAACCAGCTGGGCTACATGAGAGTTTGTCTCAAAAAAGTTTAATTTAAAATAATGTTAGTGCGTCAGTATGTATTAGGAATAAAATAGGTTATTTTTGTTGTTTTTCATTTAGAGAAATATATAAATTATTTTAAGTATATGATTTATGGATAGTTGAGAATTTGGACGTAAGAATTATAAATGATATTTTGCTAGTCAAAAGAAGTGTTACTCAGCCAGGTGGTGGTGGCTCAGGCCTTTAATCCCAGCACTTGGGAGGCAGAGGCAGGTGGATCTCTGTGAGTTCAAGGCCAGCATGATTTAAAGAGTGAGTTCCAGGACAGCTGGGTCTTCACAGGAAAACCCTATCTGAGGGGAGAGGGGAATTGTTATTAAAAAACTGAAATTTTGTTACCCTGCATTTTCTTCTGACAGCAGTTATTTAGATTGGAGATGTTACGAATGGCTTATACATTTCAAAATTTACAGTCCAGGTATGGTGGCTTATACCTGGAGGTTGAGGCAAGTGAATTATGGATCTGAGGCCTGAAGCCAGCCTGGGTTACATAGTGAATTTAAGCCCAGCTTGGGCTACAATATTAAAAAAAGACTATTATCATTATTACTATTTTGCAGTTTGGTCAGTTGTTTTTAATTTGGGGAACTATGGAATAAGACACCTGGAAGATATTTAGAATTTTTTACAATTCATTAGTCATAGTATTGCCTTTCATATTAATATAACACTTAAGTCACTGTAGACATTTTGAAGACATTCAAACAGTATTGCTGAGTGTATGCCTTGTAAGTTAGTCTAGCTGAAGAACATCTATCTTAGTTGGAGAGAATGTTGAAAATGTGTATGTATAACTTTCAAATTGTACATGTTAGATCTGTGCATTTTTACTGAAAAAAAAATCAGTTTTAAAAACTGAAGAACTAATTATTCTAAAGCCAGGCATGGTGGCATATGCCTGTAATCCCAGCACTGGGGCGATGGAGGAAGCAGATCAAGATCACATTGGCTGCATAGTGAATTCAGTTCCAGCCTCGGCCACAAGAGACCTTGTCTCAAAAATAAAACAGAAAAATGGTTCTAGGAGCTGGGGAATAGTAAATCAAACAGTAAATCAGATATTAATGTATAAACAAAATTAGAATATGAGAGGGCAGAAGGGGATCCGGGTTTGGGAGGCAATATTAGGTAGAGAGCCATGGAAAGGCCTTGTGAAGTGACATCCAGAGGTCTGGTAAAAGAGCTTTTCAAGTAGAGGACACATACAAAGGCCATGAAATGAGATGAAGTTTCATATCTGTTAGAGGATCAGTAGGAAAGTCAACGTGAGTAAAGAAGAAAGAAAGTGGTAGGAAGGATTTGAGTTTGGAGAGGTAGAAAGGGATATTTTGTAAAAGAATCTTGCAGGCCATTGAAAGGTTTTGAGAGGAAAGTAGAAAGATCAGCTTGATGTTGAGACAGGATCTCACCATACGTAGCCCTGGCTGGCCTGGAACTCATTAGTAAACCAGGTTGGCCCCGAGGTCACAGAGATTTGCATATCTCTGCCTTCTTGTGCTGGGATTAAAGGTGTGTGCCACTACACTGGGCTATCCAAAAGACTATTTGACTCTTATGAATAGAACAGAGGATGTGGGGTTGGAAGTCAAGTGGTTATCACTAAGAACTCTCTTTTATGTACACAATAGTAGAATCAAAGCCCACAGTTTATAAAGTTTTTATTAGTGTGGTAAACGTTTTTATTTATTTATTTTATTTGAATTAGAAACAAGATTGTTTTACATTTCAATCCTAGTTCCCTCTCCTTCCCCTCCTCCCCTGGAATTCCTGAATCCCCCCCCCCCCCACTAAAACCCTACCTATCACATATCCTTTCTGCTCCCCAGGGAGGGTGAGGCCTTTCATAGGGGGTCATCAGAGTCTATTATATCCTTTGGAATTAGGGCCAAATGTGGTAAACTTGCTAGCAATAGAATTGCATAATTACTTATTTTTTTTTTGTCAAAGTGGTTGGCTCTTTCAACAGCCTTGAATTAGGGTGCATGTATTTCAGGTATTTCATAAGCTCGGAAACCATGAACAGCTTTAAATCTAGCTTTGTAGTAATATTAATAATCTTTTTTGTCTTCAGATATAATTATATAAATGACTAACTTGAACTCTTCTTTGCTCCATGTATAATGTAGAATAGGCTTGAATGGAATGCTAACTGTGGGCAAGAGAGGATTTTCTTCCATGCTCTTTCCCCATCAGTCCGCCGTCAGATACTGATTCTAAATAAAATTAAATACATCAGAAGTTGATATTTTACTGCACTTTGAAAATGCAAAGAACTTATTTGAAGAAATAGCTTTGAAAGTAAAGGTGGACAGAATTCTTAATGTAAGTAAATGTTTCATGTTCTTTTGTTAGGTCCCAAGCAGTATTGAAGATATATTTAATGATGATCGCTGCATAAATATCACCAAACAGGTAACAAGAAGCAAAGATACTGCTGCTTTCTGCTCCAGCTCAAAATAAATACCCCTCACTTGTAGTTTTTCCTTGTTCTTTTAGACCCCACCTTTTTGGATATTAGCCCGTGCCTTAAAGGAATTTGTGGCCAAAGAAGGCCAAGGAAATTTACCTGTTCGAGGCACAATTCCTGATATGATTGCAGATTCAAGCAAATACATAAAACTGCAGAATGTGTAAGTGACTGTTTTTGCTATTGTTTTTTGAGGCAGGGTTTCTCTGTGTAGCCCTGGCTGTCCTGGAATTAGTTTTGTAGGCCAGGCTTGCTTTGAACTCACAGAGATCCAGCTGCCTCTTCCTCTTGAGTGCTAGGATTAAAAGTGTGTACCATCATACCCTGCTGACTGTTTTTAAACTGTGTAACCGACTACTTAAATCTGCCTTGCTAGAGGGACTCAGGACCCTGGTTTCTGACAGCAGACCCAAAAAAATATTTTACTAACAACTTACCTCCTTGAAGTACAAGGAAAATCACATACTTCAAACCTGTCCCATAATATAAATCATGTAAAACTTTAAAGTATGTTGTATTTTAAATGTTTTAATGTTATATTTTAAAATGTTTTACATATGTATATGTGACACACACATATAATGTTATATTTTTCTTTTTTTTTTGTTTTTTTGTAATTTTTTTTACTAGTTCAAGTTAGGAACAAGCTTGCTTCACATGTCAATTCCTTCTCCCTCTCCCAGCCCTCCTCCCAACCTCCCACCTGCCCCCCACCCCATCCACCCTCTACTCCCCAGGCTGGGTAGGGCCCTTGATGGGGCCTCCCCAAAGTCCACCACATCATCCTGGGCCGAGCCTAGGCCCTCCCCCATGTGTTCAGGGTGAGACATGGGTTGGGCTCTCTCTATGTCTAAAATTCATATATGAGTGAGTGATTACATACTATGTTTGTCTTTTTGTGACTGGGTTAGCTCACTCAGGATGGTTCC